GCTCATGTTAAAGAACTTTTGAATTCCCAAGTTTTCATTACTGCGGTTGCTTTCGAAGATTCTTTACGTGAATTTTTGCGACGAAGTTTTTGTACGATAACAATCTTTATAATTTGGAAATAAATTTGGGAATAATCGAAATTAATTGCGAAATCAGGCGAAAGTCGCTCATGAAATAAAAATAATTGTTTGTACAGAAATTAAAAACCTATGTAAATCAAGTTGTCTTTAAATTAAGTGACAGCAGAAGAATTATCGAACTTTTAAAAGGTAAGCTTAAATATTAATGCAATACTTAAATACAGCGATCAATTTTGAGTTCTTCTGTAGTTTATTGTTGCCTATAGCGTCTACTCCTCCCTAGCTACTGTAATGAAGGCCTATCGACACCTCGATATTTAGGCGCCCTCCCCCACGAGGGCATCATGTGGCACAAGGCCGGTTTAACGTGGGATCTCCGAGCCCGTGGGCTCGGCCAAAAATATGCACATTGAACGCGTATAAACGGGTTCAGGGTCGGTTTACCTCCCCGAAAGAGAATTAAGCAACGTCGAGTCTGGTCAGTACCTAGATGGGTGACCACTTGGGAATACCAGGCGCTTTAAGCTTGGATGTTCAGGTGATGTAATGGATAACGGATCGGAATGAGAAATAGAAGTTAAGCAACGTCGAGTCTGGTCAGTACCTAGATGGGTGACCGCTTGGGAATACCAGGCGCTGTAAGCTTGGATGTGCGGGTGATGTAATGGATAACGGATCGGAATGAGAAATAGAAGTTAAGCAACGTCGAGTCTGGTCAGTACCTAGATGGGTGACCACTTGGGAATACCAGGCGCTGTAAGCTTGGATATGCGGATGGTGTAATGGATAATGGCTTGGAATTGTTAATCGGAGAGCCGAGTTCCAATTTCCGTCGAGTTTGTTATATTCACTTACGCGCAAATACCTCTGGGAAAGGAATGTGCCAACCTCTTGGAAAGCATTTTTGGCTATCACAATGCGCCTTCGGATCTCAGTGTCACACTTTCCGTCCTATGTTAGAACACTTCCCAGACCTTTAAATTTCAGCCCTTGCTTGATTTTGGCATCCCCGATTTGCAATTCGCACTTTGGGTCGCCCCTTTTGCTAACGACTATGGATTTTGCCTTTTTTTTCCATTACATTCTGTAGTAGTTTTTTCGTAGTTTCTTTTCTGTGTTTACTATCAACACTGTGCCATCTGCAGATTTTATGTAATTAAGATTGTGATTGCCAATAAGCAATCCTGGCATAACATCTAATTTTCTCAGAATCGCCTTACTGTATAGATTGAATAAGTCCGGTGAGAAGACACATCCTTGTCTTACACACTTTTCTATTCTTGTATATCTGAACTTATTTTTTTATCCGTATGCAGGCGGTTTGCTGCCAGTACAGTTTTTGCATTATTCTAATATCCTTACCAAATATGTCAAAGTTGCTGATCAGTTCCTACAGATCTTTGTGGCGTACTTAATCTCTTCACCTCATACTCGAGAGGCTTTTTCACCGACAGCGAAAGAAGTTGTTACCCGACTCTAGCGGAGAGGGTCGCAAAAGAAGAACGTTTTCCTTTGCAACCCGTTCATTCACCAACTATCTCTACGCTGGTCTTTTCAGTTGAATTCATTGTCAGCAGTTAAGACTGTGACCGCTAACAATGAATCCTGGTAGGACATCTAATTCTCTCAGAATCGCCTTACTCTATAGATCGAATAAGTTTTACACACTTTTTGTGTACATGCTGAAAATATTTTTTATCAGTTCAGTAGTCTTTTCTTTGTTTCTTTTGCTTCACGTCTCTTCTTCATCTGTAAGGAGATTGTCCAGCATTCATTGTCATATAATGTGTTGGATTCTATAATTTAAGTTAATCTGATTTTAAAAAGTCCAAGAATATATTTAAGTGAGTGGAGCGGCGATGTCGACCGGGCAGACCTAAAGCGCAAACACCTCATTCTTTCTCGCTTTAGTAGCCTTCCATTTGGATTGGCGGAAGAGGTGAGGCCAGAGGTATGTTATAAAAATCCCTAGACCTCATACTCGACAGGCTTTTATTTGGCCGACAACGAAACAAGTTGTTGTTGTTGTTCTTGTCTGTTATTACTGTGGTTACCCGACTCAGACAGAGAGGGTCGCAAAGGAAGAACGTTTTCCTTTGCAACCTGTTCATTCATCAACTATCTCCACACTGGTCTTTTCAGTCGAATTCATTTTCAACAGTTGTTAAGATTGTGACCGCTAACAATAAATCGTGGTAAGACATCTAATTCTCTCAGAATCGTCTCGCTGTATAGATTGAATAAGTCTGGTGTTAAGACACATCCTTGTCTTACACACTTTTCTATTTTTGTATATCTGCTAAATTTATTTTGTATCTGTATGCAGGCGCTTTGCTGTATAGATTCTGTGTTATTCTAATATGCTTTCCAAATATGTCAAGGTGGCTGCGTTTAAAGAAAAAAATGCCTCATTTAAACGAACGCTTTAACGAAATGCTTGATGTCTAGTCACTTTTTGTTGTATTCGTTCGCAAAATGGGATCAATAATTTCCTCTTCCCAACCTGTTGATTAAGAACGAAAAAGTCGATCATCAGATAATTCATGGTCATTTCAAACATGTTTATCTAACAAATGACTACGAAGTCATTGATTCTTTTTTTGTTACATAATCGCGCCAATCCGCGCGTAGCTGAGCTGGATAGACAAACAAACAAGAAAAAAAAAAAAGCAACATATGTTCTTTGCTAGGATTTCAGAGAAACGGAAAAGTGGGTCATTTTATTTTTTACTAGACTATCCGTGACCCGTTGGGCCATTGACTTAAAAATAAAGTTGAAATAAAAATACTTACTGTATAAACAACTCGTATTTTAAAATCTTATTCACTTAAAATATTTTTCAATTAGATTAACTTAAAAATATTTTTAATAGTCTAAAATATATTTTAAAATCATATTTACGTGAAAATATTTTTTTAAATATGCCAAGAAATATATTTTTTGAATATTTAAATATTGTCTATTTAAAGAAAGCTGAAATTTCAATAATTACTCTACAGACAACTGGACGAAACAGCAAAACGGGTCTTTTTTTGTCTGTCTTTAACTCAAAAATATTTTAGTTAAAAAAAAATGTCTGTTTGAAGAAAGTTAAAATATAAATGCTTACTGCATAAACAACTCGTATTTTTAAATCTTATTTAGTTAAAATATTTAAAATCAGATTAACTTAAATAATTCTGCGCCAGACTGACGCACCACACAAGCACAGACTAATCACAAACTTTTAGCATTATATATATATATATATATATATATATATATATATATAGAGAGAGAGAGAGAGAGAGAGAGAGATTGGGTCAGAACAAAAGTTCATAGCTTTTTTAAATGTATTTCAAAGACAATATTTAGATGTTACATTCACTCATGACGAAATACCCTTGGGAAAGGTATGAATCCATCGGTTCTTCCCCCGCCTATGGGTTAATTAGTAAGACTAATAATAATATTTAGATTTCGGCTTTAAATAACGCTTAGAGTTTGATATGCCGCTAAACACAAACAACACGTTATGGATTGAATTGTAGGACAGTCTGGGTCTTATATCGTTGGTTGGCTACCAGTCTATCACAGAAAGAAATGGCGACCTACTGCGGGAAAATCTTCTGCCTAGTCAGCCATGAATCAAAAGAGAAATGATCGTGTATCACGTATGACACTTAACTGACTGACTGAGTTCCCGTAAAACTTTCATGGTTTTTCTTATTTGAATTTTCTGATGGATTTTAATTCTTAAGTTAATAATTGAATAAACTCTCCGTGAGTTCTGCGACAATAAAATACCCGTAGAAATTCTTCTATTGCTTCGTTAAATGTTTGAGCTTAACAGTTTCAACAAATCATCGGAATAAAAATATAACAATCATAATGGATTAATATAATTTCATGGCGTTCTTTACTTCAGACCAAATTATAGTGCAACTCACGACCAGCGTGGCCGGACATTTGGCTGACAGACATTTGGCCGGTGGACATTTAACCGAAAAAGTACAAGTAAAAATAGTAACAAGCAATACTTTAAGCATTTTAATTAGCAGTATTATAAGGTAGAATAGGACTAATAATTTACCATTGAATTTTAATTGATTAAATTACTAAATCTAAATTTAAAGTTAAAAGTTTTCTTATTTTAATATTTATTGAAATTAGTATTTTAAAAATATTTCAGTGAATTTGGGCTAAAAAGTAGCACCTAATTATTTAAATTCGTATTTAACAGTAAGATAAAAGCTAGTTCATCCCTTTAAGATAATGATCATTAAAAGCGAAATTGAAAGATCTTTCATATCGTAAAAGCTTAAGATTTTGGCTGTAGTAAAATGTGCTTTTTCTCAAAATGCTTATCAACTTACAGTAATATTTGAAGTAAAATATAATATATATAGAGACTAGATTTTTAAAAAAGCCTGTAAAAAACCCGAAAAATTATAAATTAATACAGTAAATAAATATAAATATATGTAGCACATTACGTTAAAGAGTGTGACATACGCCACTGCATTTTCGGCCAAATGTCCGTCGGCCAAATGTCCGATGAGCCAGGATCAGCACTCGAAGCCTATTTCAAATCTCGTCGTTCCACTGAAAATTTGGGTTTAGGATAGTTCGCTACTCTAGTCGGCTTAAGAAATTCAAAGGAAAAATAGAGATTAGGAACAGAATTAATTTGTCTCGAAAAGATAATCCTCTTTATCGTCGGATAATACCTTTTTTTTTATTTTTACAAAGGTTTCATTACAATTAATATATAATTTTTCAGAGATTCCGATTCATTAGGGTCAGATTACACTGATTCTAGTGCGATTACCGAAGTTAAGCAACATTGAGCCTGGTCAGCACCTAGATGGGTAACCACAGGGATTATCAGGTACAGTAACCTTGGATGTTCAGGTTGTATTTTGTACAGACACATCACACTGAAACACTGATTCCCGTGTGAACACCGACGTAAAGCAACGTCGAGCCTGGTCAGTACCTAGATGGGTAACCTCTGAGGATTATCAGGTGCTATAACCTTGGATGTGCAGGCCGTATTTTTTACAGACGCACCACGTTGAAACACTGATTCCCGTGCGATCACGGAAGTTAAGCAACGTCGAGCCTGGTCAGTACCTAGATGGGTAACCGCTGGGGATTATCAGGTGCTATAACCTTGGATGTGCAGGTCGTATTTTTTACAGACACATCACGCTGAAACACTGATCCCCGCGCGAACACTGAAGTTAAAAGACTTTTGAATAGACCGTTCGTTCTGAGGAGATCTTGTGTGACGGCTTCCATTCGATAATAATAAAGTTGCATTCTTCTTCCACAGCTGGTGATCGCTAGTTGTTTTGATTCAAGTTGAGAAGAACTTCAACACAGGGGAATTTAACTTAACTAGTTTCTTAACGTGGACTTATACTTCTCTAAATATCCAGTGGGGTTGCTCTCCCTCCAGTGGGAACCCGTTTCAGACACGAAACTCAACATGTCTACATTGCTTGACGGTTAAGACTCGACTTTACATTACTCGGAAGGTTATCCTCATCTTCATTGCCATATTCACAACGTTTCGGCCGAATTTCGAATTTCGAACCGAACCCTTTATTTCGTTCACCGTGGTAGATTGTTCTAGTTCCACTTGCCATGCCTCTTCCGGATGTCTCAGTTATTTCCCTTTATTTGAATTTTTGAATGATAGAAGCACAGAAGTTTTTTTATTATTATGATTACTTGCATTATTTACATTACTCAGACCGTTATCTTCATCTTCATTTCCATATTAACAACGTTTCGGCCGTTGTACGCTCCGGCCTTCTTCAGGTGATTAGAATTTCGAAGCGAACCGTTTATTTCGTCCACCGGGGGTAGATTGTTCTTGTTCCACTTGCCATGCCTTCTACGGATGTCACAGTTATTTCCCTTTAATTGAATTTTTGGATGATAGAAGCAGAGAAGGTTTTAATTATGATTACTTGCATTATTTACATTACTCAGGCCATTATCTTCATCTTCATTTCCATATTAACAATATTTCGGCCGTTGTACGCTCCGGCCTTCTTCAGGTGATTATAATTTCGAAGCGAACCGTTTATTTCGTCAACCGGGGGTAGATTGTTCTAGTTCTACTTGCCATGCCTCCTCAGTATGTCACAGTTATTTCCCTTTAATTCGACTCTCTCAGTATTGGTTCACCACTGCTGTGGCCTGTCACTGAACTCACAAATCTGTGGGCCTAGTCACCCAATCTAACCAACGTCTTTATCCACCGGGCCATGTGTTCTCAAGGACAACTAGACACCAAGAGTTGTGAGTTCAATACCATGTCACGGCAGTGGTGAACCCAAACTTGGAGAGTTAAGTTAAAGGGAAATAACAGAGGCATCCAGAAGAGGTATGGAACGTGGAACTAGAACAATATATCCTGGTGGACGAAATAAAGGGTTCGGTTCGAAATTATAATCACCTGAAGAAGGCCGGGACATACAACGGCCGAAACGTTGTGAATATGAAAATGAAGATGAGGATAACGGTTTGAGTAATGTAGATAATGCAAGTAATCATATTAAAAAGTCTTCTCTGTTTCTATCATTCCCACGCTGGCTCAGCGAATCAAAATCGACTTCCTTTATTTTATCTTGTATCTGATCCCTATGATCAACCTCAGGAAGTCCGAGTAGAGATATACTTCTCTAAAAAATAATAGTCTACGAAACTATTATTTGACACAACGTCGAGCCAGGTCAACACCTAGATGAGTAACCGCTAGGGATTATCAGGTGCTGTAACCTTGGATGTGCAGGTCGTATTTTTTACAGACACATCACGGTGAAACACTGATTCCCGTGCGATCACGGAAGTTAAGCAAGGTTAAGCCTGGTCAACACCTAGGTGGGTACGTTCTCGGTGTTCCAAATCAAAATCACATGTTTAAATGCCATCTATTGAAAAAAGGTAAAAAATTTTGGCAACGTTTAACTTTTGTGTCCACAAAACACGGTTTTTCAAAAGGACAGTTATTCCCTCAACACCGCTATTACTGTATACACTTTTGATTCCCTCGGTAATGTTTATTGTTTTAAAAAACGCAGATTAGAATTTTAATAAAACCCGATCATATCAAAATACATTTTCTTTATTCTTGAGAAATTGCAACAAAGATGTTAAACACTATTTATTAGATCGCTTATTTATAAGAATAATTTCATATTTTCATTCTAAAAATAACTGAACCGACTCTCATATATTAATTTACTAATTTATAAAGAAATAAATACGAAAATATTTTTTATTCATAAATTTATAAAAATGTCTGTGATCAAGGAAATTTAAATAAACACGTGATGATGCGTTTTTGCGCGTCACTGCACAAGCTGTGATGATATCCAAGGTCGGCTGTATACAAATACACAGGCGCTCACAATGTTCCCCAGATTCGACTCAATATCAGGGACTTGAGCCCTGTCAACAAAAAATAAGGATAATTGCTTCCTTGATACCTGTTGAGTTAGAAAGTAGCAAAAAAAAAAAAAAAAAAAATGTGTTTTCTCACTTAATCGGAAATATCTTCTCACTTAATCGGAAATATCCACTCGCTTAATCGGAAATATCTTCCTTCTGCTTCAAGAAAGCGAACTTCTGGTATCTGACTGCGCACCAAGTTCCGGCCACATAAAACAGACCCCAACACACTCACTGCCTGGTCGTTTCACTTGTCGGAGTTAGCTCCCCCTTAATTTCCTTATTGTCAATAGGAGTCGCTCTCCCTACACTATAAATACTGGTCGACTTCTTACCTCGTTCTCTTTTTCATTTCAGGGGGCTTGCTTCGGCAATTAGTTGGAGTTTCGTCTCCAGCCATGCTGGTCGAACTCTCTGCCTTCTGGCAGAGGGGGACCCAGACGAGTCTATGCCTTCGGGCAGAGTCTCGTCCGGGCTGGTAGACAGCTACCCGACCCCGTGTATACGAGGTCTAAGGGCGGTTTAAAAAAGCCCTTGTGCCACATCCAGCCTCGCCGGGTGGTGAGGTAAATAAAATTTTTCATTTTTTTCATTTCAGCGAACACATCTACAATGTAAGCTCTTGCAGAAGATAGCGTCTTCCCATTTGTAGGAGACGCCATGAACGTTATACACACGTACACGTACGTACGAATATTCACCAAAATACAAACTCTTTACGTTCACACACAAACACAAATGTTGATGTCTTTGTCACGTGTAAATTTGTTGTTTAATACATATATGTGTTTATATATATATATCGGTCTTGTTTGTTTTCTTTACATCTTCGATTGGACTCAACTTGAGTCCGCCGTGTTCTTGTAGTTGGACCTCCTTCTAGCAGGAAATAAACGCACGTGTTTCTAATTCAACAACACGTAAACCCACCCCGGTCCTCTACACACACCTTACTGGCTGATTTCCCTGACTGCCTTTCACTCACTGCCCAATTCATTACATGGATACTGGCTAGAGGAACAACCACTCCTTTTCGTCCACTTATGTTCTACCAGCCACAAAGAGGGCCACTCAAACAGGTTTTGGATAATCTGTCTATCAAAGGGAGCGTGCTTGAATACGGAGCGGACGGGGTAGACGTCAGACTGTTATCTGACTTCTTACCAAATTTCAATCATGGAAAACAGACCCCATCACACTCACTGACTGGTCGTCTCTCTCACTAGTGGCCGTTTTTCTGATTGACCTTCACTCACTGTCCAATTCATCATATAGATACTGACTGAGGGAACAACCACGCCTTTCTGTCCACTTGTGATTTACTAACCAGAATGGGGAACCAACTAGACAGTCTTTCAAAGGACCTTATTTTTATGGCTAGCAAAACTTGGAGAGTTGAGAGAGGGCAATAACTGAGACACCCAGAAGAGGCATGGCATGTGGAACTAGAACAATCTACCCCGGTGAACGAAATAAAAGGTTCGGTTCGAAATTCTAATCACCTGAAGAAGGCCGGAGCGTACAACGGCCGAAACGTTGGGAATATGGAAATGAAGATGGGGGTAACAATTCGAGTAATGTAAATAATGCAAGTAATCATAATAATGAATTTTCTCTGTTTCTATTATATGTCAATTCAAAGGTGGGACGAAGACAGTGTTATAGACAAGCGTATGGTTGCAAGAAAGAAATACGACAACAGCAGAAATAGATTTACGTGGTTTATTTCAACAGGAACGTGTGGGTTTGGGACAGCTACCTTGTGGTAAAGTTCATAAGCCGGCTTCGGATCTAGGTCGATCTCTCATAGTAGTTCACACATGTTGACGGTGGTTGACGCTCCCCTGCTGTCAGTAGCTGACCGTGACAGGTCTCTACTCTGGGCACCTGTTAACTGACTGTTGAACTTCCGTGTAACCCCTTTTATAGCGTTTTTTTATGGCTTAACAGACTCGAAAAACGAAGCGGGTATAATTAGGAGGGAAGCATTTTTATTGGACAAAAAATAGAGCACTTTAAATATTATTTTATTTTTCGACCGGAATGGTCATTTTGTGACGGGGCTTTGTCCCGTTCACATCCGGTTCTCGCTCTTGAGTATTTGCCTGTAAATCAACCGAGATATGTCTTATTTTATTTTATAACAACAGGATTCCTGAATAATTCTGGCCATTAAATTGACTTAAAAAGACAAAGAATCTTTCTATTTATCTAGGGTGGGTGAGAAATTGTAATACTACACATAACGACGAGTAGTATAATATTTTTGTTTTATTGAGTTTTGTATGTTACAATTCAGAGATGACTTTCAGGTAGAGGTGGTCCAACTAAAAAAAACAAAAAACAAAACATGATTTGGTTTCCTCAAAGCCTTGTACTTTTAATCACTAATCTTCCCAAAATTGAAATTATAGAGTTTTCGTACAATTAGTTAGGTGGGGGTAATACATATGAAAAAAAAAAAATTTGCCATGACTTTAAAAAAGAAAAAATATATTTATAATAAGTTCCATCATTTGGGAATAATTTCTGAAGGTTTCATTAAAATCCGACAATTATTTTTATTTTTGCAAGATTTTCAAAATTAATGTCTGTCATACAGAAAAAAATGCACTAAAATTTTATGTTATTTTACTAGTTCCGGTGACACAAAGAGAAACAAGTTTTTTTTTAATCAAAATTTAGAATGTTCTAAAAAGAAGGAA